AGAAAAATAGATAGTTGGACTCAAGAGAAAAGAAAAACGGAGAACGAAGGAGAAGTTAAGGGGGGTTCGGCAAAGGGGAACAAGAAGGGAAAGGGAAAAGGAAAGGGGTTAGGGGGAGGAAACGCTTTGTTCGGTTCCACGCCACCTGTGACTTAATTAGCGGCATATGTAATCACGTTTGACGACATATTTTTCGGCTTTTCTTTCTTTTCCCTTCGCACACTTAAATAATATATTCTTTTAGTTTCTTTTTTTTTCTTTTTTTTTTCTTTTTTTTTTTTCTTTTTCCATAACGTTTCTCCGTTTCTCAGAGAGAATGAGAAAGAGACAGATAGAAAAGTGGCACCGTAATTAACGGCTTTACTTACCCGTTGTTTTCTGAAATTACCAAAAGAAATATACGCGATAAAAGCTTTTACTACTGTTAAAAAGGAAGAGTAGGAAGGAACAGAGGGGATGGGAGTGGGGGAGGATACAGCGACGCAAAAAAATAATATAAAAAATGAATGGACAAAATAACCAGGGCGAGAAGGAGCCGGGGGTGGGTTGGGGGTAGATAAAAAAAAGTGGGACGAAAGGTGAGACCCGGTCGCGAATAAATTTATCATTCGTTTGCCGTGCTTAAAAACGTGTAAGCAATGTGTTCTCGTTTTGATTGTTATTCCTATTTTGTTTCTTCTTTTTTTTTTACTTTTCGATATAAAAAGTCGCGAAATTGTGTTGGAAATAATATCTGAAAGAAGGTTTGTAATTAGAAGAAAAAAAAAAACATGCACGGTCCTACTACGTGCACGTTACTGTTACGTATGCATGCAAATTATTGATTAGTTCGTATCGAATATGGTAACTATTGAATTTTGATGAAATAATATACATTCGAGGAGGTATCGAATTGTCCGTAAAGTTCGTGCTGATTTGGGGAAAAAAAAAATAAATTGACACATTTTCTGATGAAGAAAATAAATAAATCGTGAAGAATAATTATTACGACACGTTAAAAGGTAAGAACATCGTATGAATACACTCGTTGCATTCATAATTTCTAATGGTTGTTGAAAAGGATTGAAAGGTAACTTAAGTTTAAGATTAACTTAACTAAACTCAACTTGACAGTTCTCTCCCGAGTAGAGGTAAGGATAGGAAGTAACGTTTATATGAAGGTATAATAAATATGTGTGAGTGCGTTCGCGAACGGATGGGTGTGTATGTGTGTATTTCTGTATATATGTGTAAGGGAATGGTTGGATCCCAAGTTAGTCTGTTAATTCGTCAGTGACGTGGGTTTCGTGTGCCGGATGATAATGTCGGTGCGATGCACCGGTTGTGCCAGCGGAACGGCACTCTGTAATTAATCAGGAACGCGAGCTACAGCGCGAAAATACAGGCTTGCTCTTGGAAACCCAGTAAGAGTGAGTGAGAGATAAAGCTAGGAAACGTGTGAAAGCATCAGAGATAGATAGAGAGAGAGAGAGAGAGAGAGAGAGAGATGCAGTAGCAGTAGCAGCAGGAATGTTACTGGTAGCACCACCCAACAACTAACTGCAATAGCAGTGCAACAGTAACAGAAACAGCAACTGCAACTGCACCTACAACTGGTGGTACTGCTGCTGCTGCTGCTGCAGCAGCAGAATCGTTTACATAGTCAATGCAGTCACATGTAATGCGTACGAACACATAGTACGCGTAAAGCGTATACACACGTGCATCTAGTGCGTGTACACAGAAGGGATGGTCCTCAACGTGTCCGATAGCCGGATACGTACCACTGCTAGGGTGCATCAACTGCAAGAGTAAGTGTATGTGTGAGAGAGTGAGAGAGAGAGGAGAAAGGAGAGATAGGAATGAAGGTGTAGATGTGTCGTACGTGTAAGTGTAACATAAATGGCGTCGATGCATAATACTGAAACCACCCCCTCGTACCACCACCACTACCACAACCACCATCCGCCCCTATAGCACATACCAACGTACAAGATCTACGTTCCATGCCACCTAGCAGGAAACCAAGTATGTGTGCGTGAAAGGGGGGAAGGGTTGTACAGGGGTGGTTTCAAATGTGTTGAAAGTGTGGAAAACATGTGCAGAACGATAAAACGGTGATGTGCTCGGTGAAATTGTTCACTGCAGTTACGAAATATTAAATTCGCCGGTGCCAGTTTTGGATATTCTCAGGAAACGAGAGAAGGAATGCGTGAGAGAGAGAGAGGAGAGAGATAAAGAGAGAATGAGTTGTTCTCTATCGACGTTTATGTGTCCTGTCGAGATAAGCTCTTCTCGAACGATCCTTCTACGAACGAGATGCATTCGTGCGAACGGAGATCGAGCTCGTAGTATTTCAGGACAATGACATTGGACGGTGGGCACCATGGGAACAGTAATTTCCGTTTTAGTCGAGGCAACTAGAATCGACTTTTACGAACATTTTACTCTAATACTCTTTATATCTTATCTATCTTATATTGGAAGGTACAAAAGTTTTCCATAATGTTATATCAAAGTTTCAATTTTAATAGGAAATCTCACGATTTTTTCTCACGACTTTCGTTGTGCAATATCTTTATGAAAATATATATACAATATATCAACTATTAGATTTTCCCTTTCTTTAATATTAATTATATTAATTATTTGTGTAATATTTTTACTAATGCATTGATGCAAACCAACAACAACAACAACAAAAATAATATAATCTCGTGTCGAGTGTCAAACTGACTATCAAAACAAAAAAAACAAGAAAATATGATGCTCAAACGAAAAAGGGATATCCGTTCAAATCGTTCGCAGAATGTACAAGCCACCCTCTCGATTCCTCCTCCCCATAAAATCCTATCCCCAATCGTCCGCCCTTCTCACCCCACACCTTCCTCTTCTTCCTCCTCACCCCGCTCGAATGGCGTGATTAATCCAACCATTTTTCTTCCTCGTAGTACGTTTAATACCAGCCTCGTGGAAATCGCTTGCTCGTACTGTACACGCTAACTGATATCAGTCGCAGAGAGCTGGAATTTGAGAGACTCATACGAAAGAGAGAAAGAGAGAGAGAGAGAGATAAATAGAGGAAGAGAGAGAATGGGGAAGAGGGTAGAAAAATGGGGATGGAGATTCGTGATAATACGAGATGGATAGAGAGAGGGTTGGTTGGTTGGTTGGATGGTTGGTTGGTTGGTTGGTTGGTTGGTTGGCTGGTGCATGCACATAGTTGTAAACCAGGACCGCAGGTGCTTCGATGGAACGTACAAAGCCCATTCCCATACACTAAAACAGAAACACACGCGTATATTTAAGTATATAAATACGATATGTGTATACTAATATCCATAGGAATCCTGATAGACCAATAGACGTAGGTATTTTTTAACAAGATTTTATGCATATCATCAAACTACTTTTCATGCATAATTCAATCATCTTTGTTTTCCTTCTCATCATCATCATTTTCTTCTTCTTCTTCTTCTTTTTTTATTTTTTAGGAAAACGTTTTATGTGTTTGTGTGTGGGAAGGGGGGTCTGTGTATGTGTAGATTTGTTGAGATTGTATTTTTCGAGGTAGTACTACTTTCTCAAATGGTAGAAAACAAGAACGTTGGAATAGTTGGAACAATGGTTTGGTACTGCTGGCATCAGCTGCAAGATGGTGATCCTCTATCAGATTTTCTCGATTGTGGAAGATAAAGAGGATCAGAGAAATAGACTGTAAAAGTGAGAAAGGAAGAAAGAAAGACTGAAAGAAAAAGAGAGAGAGAGAAAGAGACAGGTGAGGAAAGATTAGAGTTGAAATTGCTGCTGATCGTAGTGTTATGGTAAAAGGTACAAACTTATGTTAATTTGTTCCTTGCAAATATTATATTTATATAATATATTGGAACGCGTAAGAAAAAATTACAGATTAAAAAATAATAAAAATTTATTTGTATTAAATGAATTTCTTGTTGTGAATGAAAAATTAAACTCGGATTCGTATAGAAAAGGGGGATTTAATTTATCTTAAAATGAGAAATTTATTTAATCATTCGATAGATTAAACAATTGTGAATATGTTAAAGTACATATCGATTAAATTAAAATGATTCGTTCGAATGATATATCCGATTGAGAGATCGATTAATTTAACTTGTTGAAAAGTTTTCCCTTAGAAAGAGCAACTACTACGATTACAGTATTCCCATCTTTTTCTGACTATCTTTCCATCCACCTTTCTATTTATTTATCTCTTTTTCTATCTGAAGATTCAAGAAGTAACGCGTCTTCTTAGAGGTAAAACTGGACGAGTGGAATGTTGAAGATGTAAAGAGGGCGGAAATAAAGGACATGTAAGTTAAGTACCCTCGTGTCTGATGCGTGCGGAATAAGATGGATTTGTAAAAAGAGAAGGAAAAAACGAAAAACGAAAAAGAAAAAGAGAGAGAACAAAAAGATCGTCTCATCTTATTTTCATCTCTCCTCTTTTTCTCGAATATATTTTCCTACTTTCTTTACACGATAATGGCTTTTTGTATGAACGATGGCCTGTCGAGTGTCCGCGAAAAAAAAAAAAAGAAAAAAAAAAATGTAGAAAAAGAAGAAGATAAAAAAGAAAAAAGTAAGGAACCTTTTTCTTTTGACGGATAAATTTCGTATTCCACGATGGCATTGAGAATTCAATAAAAGCTAAGTGAACAACGGTGATCGAGGAAGATCGATATGGTCGTTATTACTTTTACGTGATCGTTCTATTAACACCTGTAACCTTTTTCTAAATAAAATAATATGACAGAATTGAACCATCTCGTATAGCTTGAATTATTATATATATAAATAAAATTTGATTAGAAATATACTTGGTCAACATAAATCGTAATTAAAGTGATCAGTACCACCACAATTAATAAACCTAACTTATGCCAACATACAAAATTAAATTTATAATTGAAAAGAAAAAAACTGAAGAAAATTGAATATGTAATGTTGAAAATGAAAAGTTATGGTAATTAAATGGGATAATAATATTAATGTTTCAGGACGAGGAGTGGTGCTGGACAGTCAGGGACCAGTTTTGGTTTCGGAACCACGTTCATCGGTTGAATTTTCAAACGACACCGGTGCGATGATCCATTGTTCAGCACACGGCAGTCCATCGCCTAGGATCGATTGGTTGATGGGCGATGGCTCACCCGTTTTACCTGTACCACACATCCGTGAGATGCTGGTCAATGGTTCAATGTATTTCCTACCGTTTGGTGCAGAGAGTTACAGACACGACGTACACTCAGCAATTTACAGATGTCAAGCCTCCAACAGCGTCGGCAGAGTACTCGGCCGTGAAATTACGGTAAAGGCCGGTGAGTGTGCTATTTTTTTTATAGATATATATATATTTCTTCTGTATCTTTCTCAAACATACCGGGTGAAACATTTTATCCTGTACATTTATCTCCATATAATTCACGTGTGATTATATTTTTAGGAAATTATATATATATATAAATGTAAATCATTTTATTCTACAAAACTGTATGTGTTCATCACTTTGTTTAATTTCATCCAAATAATAATAATAATAATAATTTTAGAAAATTTCCCTACTGTGTGAATTAAATAATAGATCAAATTATATATATATATGTATTTTCTATAATTTATAATTATAATTCTTGTTATCACACAAAGTTTTACAGTATTTAAAAGAACAAGAGGGTAATGGTAAAAATAAATTGTTCTTTCGTTTAAATAAAATTATATATACTGAATACTAAAAATGATTATATATGTATATCAATTGAAATAATAAAATTTTTGTTTTTTTATCAATTTGGTTTATAAGATTCAAAAATATCAAAGATATATAGAAATGTGATTTAAATGATTCACCCAGTATACAACAATTTATCTCTTTCGCACACACTTTCCAAACGATTGCGTTTTCTCTTTCATCTTTCAACAATTTTCTTCCTCTTGCTTTCTTTCTTTCTTTCTTTCTTTCTTTCTTTATTTATTTCTTTCTTTTCTAACTCACGAGTAACGTGAACTACGAACGATAAGTTCGATTAATGGGTATATCAGATTGAAAAAAAGTGTATGAAGAGAGACGTTAATTAATTTCTCTTTGGACATGGACGATAAATCACTCTTCGAACAGATTTTATAGCTAAGGGTATCTACCAATAGAATAGAGATAACATCTTTTAAAATATCGATTGAGATCTCTCTGTTCTATACAGAAAAAGTAGATTTATTTTCTGATAAAATAATTTTATAATTTTTCTTGATGCGATACTAGAAATTTCATTTCATTATTTATTATCTCATCTTAATTTATTCATCCACACAAAAATCGCTCGCAAGATTGATATATAAAAACAAAACTATCTCAGATTTATCTATATGTATAAATTTGCATGATTTTTAATAAATAAATAATACTTTGCAGATTTCTCTGAAAAGTTTCGGTAAATATTTTTAATACTAAAAGTTAATAGATTTTGTTATACACATTGAAAATGTTTAATTCTCAAACGAAAACATTAAAAATTGTTCAAAAAAAGAACTAAATGTATCAACTTATTCTTACGTATAAATTCGCATAATTCGTACACAAAAGATAAATCATTCTTTTAATTATTTATTATCAAAATTTGTGTTCCTTGATATATAATTTTTGTTTCTTTATATTATGTTTCAAAAGACCATTATCCAAAGATAAAACTTGTTACTCCGGGGGCAAAGTTATATTACGTGAGCATTGAAATCTCAATCTTGAGGATGATCTTGTGAAAAGATAGAAGTTACAGGACTATGCTTTCTAGAAGATTAGCTTAGCTATTTATTATCTAGCCATCCACAGCAGCATACTCGTAAAGGAATAACGATATAAACGTCTCAAAATATATCCAAAAATAAAGAAAAGAAAAAGAAAAAGAAAAAGAAAAAAAAGAAAGAAATTGTACTATATTAAGTATATGAATAAAATCACAAAAAAAAAAGAAAAAAAAGAGTAAAATTGAATGAATGACTTTTAAAAGTGATCGTAAAGTATCCTAACAAAAATCGAAAGGAAACGTTATCCATTATATTATTATCGATCATTTCCTATATAAGAATTTTTCAAATGAAAAATCGTTTATCATCCATAAATCTAATTGATGTAAGAGTATTCGTTTTTAAATGACGTACTAAAGTGGTGACTTCCTCGATAAAAGATATGAGAAAGTACTAGTAAACGGGTATGATGTAGGGTGTGAGGTTGGAAAGGAAAGGAAAGGAAAGGAAAGGGATGGGAATGGAATGGAAAGGGGTTAGGGAAGGGAAGGAAAGGAAAGGGAAGGGTAGGAGAAGGATCGTTAGCTTACCGAGCCAACTACATTTATTTCTCTCTCGTGAATGTACTTTTTTCAAAGCTTCATATTAGATGGATGGTCCTAAACTAATGCTCGCTTATGGCCAACAACCGGTACTCACTGCCAAGATCAAGATTCGCGGCTTTGCTTCCATTGCCAACTTTATGTACACACAAACACACACATACGAGTATATATATATATATGTGTACATAAGGATATTTCTACGCTCGAAAGCACAGGGAGTGATGAAAAATAAAAAGAAGTAAAAGTAGAAAAAGAAATGATACGTGGGAGAAAATAGATGAAAAAAACATTCGTTCAAACTTTTTTCATTTTGTGTTTTATTTATTTAACAAAGTTATATTTATATATTTGTTATTTATTTTGGATATTTTTCATTTATGTTAGATCGATTAAATATTTAATATTTTCAAATATATTACTTAGATTTATTTATACATTATGTGTAAAAATTTGAAACAAACGTAATAGTGTTTACAGTAATATCTATGATTTATGCGAATTCGGAGTTTATACGAGATTCTTAATTTTATCTTTCAACCGTATAAACATTTTAATTAATATGACTAATATATTAGATCGTTAAATATGAAATGTTCGTTTTCTGACAGAAAGTAAAGTTAAATAATCGGACGTTTCATGTTTAAATACCTAATACAAACTATGCATGAAAGAGTATTACAAAATTCTATATGTGTGTGTGTAGGTATACGTGTTTGATCAGTTGAGCGACAGTTAAACGAGAATATGTAAGATTTTTGCGTCAGTTAATTGTGTGAGTTAGTGTATGATAACATACACATATACAGGGTGGATCGATAGTTATTGCGAGATGCAAAATTGTAATCCGACTTAAGCGAATTTCGATTTATGTTATGCGATTTTCGTCGATCCCACTTATCGCGTAACTTCGATGAATGACTGTGTGTGTGTGTGTGTGTATTAATAAAGTAATCATAGGTATATTATTCTTCAAAATATTACTCAATTTATTTCTATCAAACAACAATTATCGTTGAAATCTTGAACGATCAAAAGAAATAACACTTTTGACAAATTTACATTTAATATCAAATGCGTCAAATGAATTTTTCTACGTTATACATATTCTACATTATACATAAAAATAAAATCATTATATTTGATATTATTTATCGGAGATTGATCGTTGAACGTTCGATTATGAAATATTTTAATCGAATCATTCGAACGAATAATTTACATTAATCAAATTTCAATGAAAGAAAAGAAAGATTCGATTAATTTCAATGCACATTCGCATGCACGAATACCTAAATGCATATACGAAAATATTTACGCGACAGTTTTCATTCAAAAAAAGATTACGTTAATATAATATAATATTATTTTTGTTCAATCTCTTATAAATAGCCAATGAATTATCAGGAGGGAGGGTAGTAGTAAAAAAACAGAAAAACACGAAAAGAAAAGAAAAGAAAAAAGAAAAAAGAAATCGATATGAAATTTCAGGACAGAAATAATTGCGGGTACGGGGTTTTCGTGTGTGTGGTTTGTGTGTACGTGTACGTGTCACGTAGGGAAACGCGTAACTCGAGCGTGCATATCTCTTTAAAAAACGTGGAAACTCGTAGCCCAACGTTGTGGGGTTGAATAAACGAGCCGGTGAGATACTTTCGTTTTCCAGTGTGGTTAACAATCGTGACGGCTCTCGGCAAGAATCACTTATCGCGTTTAGCGAGTCGTGCAATCGAGGCAAATTCTCTCGCTGAGTAGACGTTACCAAGATAGTCTATGTGTGGATGCGTGTGCGTGTGTAGAATTTCTATCAACATTGAGAAAAGAAGAACTTACAGAAGTGAAAATGAGAGAGAGGGGGGGGGGAAGCACTAATTACCAAAAGTACAAACGCCAGACGGTCTGAAAAGCTTTCACTGTGTTGTTAGTTTTATACATATAAATAATAATAATAAAAAAAAGAAAAGTAAAGTTGTTTAACGAAAAAAATATTAAACACCGAAATCGGGTGGTAATGGATTTGAATAAGACTCTGCGAATATTACTTTGGATCTAATTAACGATACCACGTGTATTACAGTAAAAAGAAATAAGAAACAGACACGATAAAATTATTGCTACTGGAATGATTATATTTTATCGAGGATTGTTAAAAGAAACATTAATTAACACGTTGATAAAAAATATTATTTTTTTTTGTCAGCGAGAAAATGTTCTCTTAGATTATTTTTATCTGGTATAAGATAATATATTATTATATAATGTCATCGTGTAAAACAAGTTTTATTACGTTATTATGTAATTTATCCCGAAGAACGAATTCATTCGAAACAATTAGGATGTCTCAGTCCGAAAAGGGGATTGAAATAAATTTGAGTTTATCCAGAAACTATTTTAATATACTATACTCTCGGAATTCATTTCAAAAATATAAATTCAAATAAAGAATCCGAGACGAGCGTTAACTTCGCGGGTGATGAAAGCTTTTCCAAGTCATTTTCATTTCTTTCCCTCTCTTTTTCTTTTTTTTTTTTTATCCACTAATTGCGGTACAACCCAACTTCTTCTTCTTCTTCTTCAACTTCTTTTCGATTTCGTTCCTTCTTTTTTATTTTTTGTCTTTATCTCGCAACGGGTTTTGTCGTCGTCGACGAAAGTTCAGTTTCTTTTTTCTATCTTGTTTTTTTTTTTTATATTCTCAGTCTCCCTTACACCTATTCGAAAACGAGCGTATACACAACTTTTGTCTTATTCCTTCTTTTTCTTCTATCTTTTTTTTTTCCAGTGGTCCGGCAAAAGTACGAAGTTCAAGTACGGGACACCTTTGTCTTGCCCGGTAACACGGGTGTCCTTAGGTGTGAAATACCATCCTTTGCGAAGGATTACGTGCAAGTCACTTCGTGGGTCCAGGATTCGGCTTTCAACATCTACCCAACTCACGAAAGCGGTAAGAGTTTATCCATTTTAACGAGATATCGTCATTTCTTTATTATTTCAACGTAATTATTTCAATTGACCGATAAATCAATTCGTCATTTTATATTTCAATAAATAATATCAAGTAGTTTTTTGTTTTCTTTCTTTCTTGTTCTCATTTAAACTATTAAATATTTTATAATATAATTATTTTAACGATGCAAATATTTGTTATAATCTAAAACCACTACCATATATTACATATTTATGGACCAAGAAACATTTTATTTCACAATAAACTTACTTACTTAGCAGATAATCTGACAATTTCAAAGCCATTTTCTAGCTTAAGTCTACGAGCAAGTTGACACGCGGTTGCACGTCAATCATCTAACTATTGGATATATTATATATATATACACATACATCGAGTGGCTTTTACCAGCATCATTTTTTATCTTCTTCACCGAACGACACCTGTCAAGTCTTCTTCGATCTCATCCGATTTACTGTCAAATCCTAGCCATCTCGGTTAAAAACTTGCATACGCTAGGTATAATCAGACATGACTGATATAACCATTCGAAGAAATTGAAATTTTCTTGCAATTTCATTCCCATTTAATACGCCTAATTATATGCAATACTTCGTACTTGAATAAAATATTCACAAACATAAAAATAAATAATCCTTTCTTACAATTTATGTAAAACGCCTGATCATATGCAACAGTTTATATTTTAGAAAAAATATTTCTCCCCTGACGATAGGCAACCCTTTCTTATGCTTTCTAACGCCTGATCATATGCAACAGTTTATATCTTAGAAAAAATATTTCTCCCCCTGACGATAGGCAACCCTTGCTTCAGCTAGTACTAAAATATAAAATATTGCCTATCGACAGGGGTAAATTTTTTCTCATTAAATAATCAAAATAATTATAAGTCACGTAGATAAAATCAATCAAACCCTTTTAATGATCTAAAGTCAAATAAATTGAATTGTATTAGTAAAAAACATTTAGTCATTTAACGAGAGACGGTCAATTTTTGTCGGATAAAACTCGGCCCTATTGTCAAACAAAAACATCATTAATCTTTCGACAAACGATGTATTGACACACACACACCTACACAGATATAGGAATGGAGAGATAAAAAAACACACAAAAAAAAGGGAGAGAAAGTCGATAAAGATCGAAGCAATTTTTACGTAGATTTTGTTCCCTATCGTTTGAACAGAGCTTCGTTGTTTCAGTCGAAAGGGTCGGGAAGAAGGGTGGTAAAAAAAAGGGACGGCGAAAAATATATGAGCGTAGGTAAGCTCTTCGTAGGAAGACATACATATATATATGTGTCTATATATATATACACATATATATATGTGTGTATATATAGTCGTTCTTGTCAATATCCCAGTTAATTAGAGTCTAAGGGGAACGATTGGAATATCTCTCAGCGTGTATACGCACAGACATTATTACGAAAAGCTCCCGTCACTCTAAGCTTTCCACTAAAGCAAGAATGATAGAACGAGAGAGAGAGAGAGAGAGAGAAAGAGAGAAAGTCTCGTCATGTTCTCGCGATTATTGTGTACCGCAAAACGAAAAGAAAAAAGTCAAACGAACCACAATCGGTACGTGCCGCGTATCTACTCGCACACACTGAGGTTTAACTTTTTAACGAATCTCTGGGAACGTTCGGAAAAAAAATAAAGAAAAAAGAAAAAAAAAGTAATAAAATTCAAAGGGTCTTGTTCGTTGGTCGTTTTGCGAAGCACCGAATTGCCACGAAAATTTCTTCTCTCGCGATAATTACGACTTTGATGTACAGAAAGAGAGAGAGAGAGATATATATATATCAACACGTAAATATGATTTATCAATTTTTATCAATTCAAACGATAGGTATTCGTTTACGGTATCGTATCAATGTGTGAAAACAGTTAACGTATTATTTGCATTATACGGGAATCCATCTCGTTTTTCTTTTTTTTTTTTTTTAAATAAAAAACACACAAAGAGTTTATCTAGAAAATAGTAATAATAAAAAAATAATAGTCGAAGAGTTTAAAAGTTTATGGAGAACTCGTTTTTAAGTTTAAAGATCACGTCCTAACATACATATATATATATATATCGTTTTCTCGATGCTTCTTTTTCGGTATCGATAAACCGTTGAAAACTTTCAAGTTCGCGAAGTCATAGGAAAAGAGCACGAACGAATCTTCAATTTTCCTTTTCCGATAAGGAAAGGAAAATGGCATCGGAAAAAGGAATCATCATCGTGAAAAAAAAATAAAAAGAAAAAGAAATGAAAATATACATTCATATATATATATATATATATATATATAAATATACACCCACACAAAGTTATATAATAATATAATACAAGGAAAAAGAAAATGAAAAAAGAAATATAAAAAAAAACAAGTAGGAGAACTACACTTGCAGTTAGTTTTCTTATTCCCTAACTATTCTCATAATCGTAAGTTGAACTATGTAAGAATAAACGACACCGAGCTTTGTCTATTACCATTTTATAAACAAAAATCTCCCTGACCCCCGGCCCCATTCTTTATCCTTATCATTCTCTCTTTATCATCTTCTTCTTCTTCTTCTTCTTTACTTTTATTTCTTGTATTTTTCTTTTCCTTTTTCTTTTCCTTTTTCTTTTATTTTTTCTTCGCCGGAGATTCATGCGCACAATTGCACACAGCTGATCCGCAAACGTCCAAAAGTTTTCCAAGTAATTCGTTTTCCATTTAGAGAAGAACTATCTCTCTCTCTCTCTCTTTCTCTCACTCACTTACTCAGTCACTCTCTGTTCTATTTAACTCGCTTCCGTTTCCTCTTCAATCGCAAGATTGAATTTCCCAAGCGGGACCAAATAAGAGCTAGTAAGAGAGAGAGAGAGAGAGATAGAAGACTTGGCCCGTTCGCATAATTCCTTCAGGGTCGCACTGGCAACGGAACTAAGGATTCCTAGTGCTTGATTTAATCCTACGATTAATCGTTTCATTGCAACTTAGAATTGTGCAACGAACCTTTCGATGATAATTATTATTATTATTATTAAACGATTAGAAGGTTTTTTAAACGTTTTTATTCGAATAAAATATCCAATTAGTTCACCTTCTTTTTTTCCCTTTCTTTCCTTCGTTCTTTCTTTCTTCCTTTTTTTTTATTTGTTTGTTTAAACAAAAGAAATAAAATAAAACGATTGGGCCAAGATTGAGATTTTGCTTTTTTTTTCGCGAATTTCGTCGATGATACGGCAACCAAGTTATGATGAAAAGTTTTCTCGAACTTTGTTTAAGTGTACTTACTCCACCTGACCAACCGCCCCCCTCCCGCACTACCACCTCTTCTCTACCCTTTAGAAAGCTACGAATATCGAGAAGTTCGTTCTATTCTTCGGTATGGTTTTGAACGATAATCGAAATGTTTTTTTTTGTCCCGAAAGGAAAGAAAATCAAAGAAGAAAGTAATTAAAAGGGATCGAATTGTAAAGAATAATGATAAGTAATGTCAACGAACGTAGTTTTTCTTACGTATAGAAATTGTTCTTTTAACTTTTCCTTGTTATATTAAAAAACAAAAAAAAAATATTTCGAATTTTATCGTAAAACTTTGAACAACATTATTGAAAAGAATCCAGAAACACTTTTATCAATTAAATTGAATTCAGTTCGACGATCTAAAAGATTCGACAATTAAATTCAATTATTTGTTTTTATGTAACAAATGAAGTTGTTCATATGTTCGCAGGTGTTTGTAAAATCATTGGAACGAAATGATTCGGTAGAAATCCAAAGAAAAGTTTAGCTAGCTAGCTAGGGTCCTGGTATACAATTCAAACAGGAAAGCTTCAGCCACAATGTAAATTCGGCTGGGTTTAGGCATCGTTCGTCTACCGAGACTCCAAACTATTCTCTTCTCATTCCAACGCTCTTGTACTATCTACAAGTATACACAATACTGTTTCTAGTATATATTGTTTCTCTCTCTCTCTCTCTCTCTCTCTCTATCTATCTATCTATCTATCTATCTATCTATCTTTCTCTTTCTCACTGAAACTGTTACACACTTCTCTGGCAACCTTCTACGTTGGTCCATCTCTTCATTTCTCTCTCACTCACTCTCTCTCTCTCTCTCTCTTATTCCGTGTGTGTATCTGTCTTCTATCTTTCTCTTTCAGTTTCTGTTGTTCTCTTTCTCTTTCTCTTTAACCAACTCACACCCAGCTCTCTCTATCTCTCTCTCTCTCTTGCTTGCTTGCTTGCTTACACTCGCACTAACGTGTCACTCTTGTTTAACTCGGAAACTCCTGATAGTTTCTGAAATGGTCTCCCTACGAGCAAAGGTATATCGCTCTTTGTACACCAGTTTTACGACTTTCCCGATTGTTCATCTGTGTTGGTTTCCTAAAAAAAAGGCTAAATTACCGAACAAGTATATATATATTTATATAATAGTTTTAATTCAAGTTTTTGTGTTTAGCAAAAGAAAAATTATTTAATTTTATTTAGTTGCATTTCAACAAAAACAAAAGTATTGATAATAATTAATACCACGTGAAATATGTTATATGTATTGTTAAATATATCTATCAATGAAATATGTTAAATTTAGAATGAACAACACTTAAAGATATTTCATAGAAAATTTGTAAACTCTTTAAGTTTTCTTTTTTTTAATATTTCATTTACGGATTAAATTGGGATAATGTGAATTCGTTGAAACATTGTTTCTTCTTGCCAAACGTCAAATATATAAAAGGGTCAACCTTTATACATATATATGCGTATAAATAAAACATAATACCTTTAGGAAAAGAAGGGGAATGAAAGTGAAAAAAATTTGCTTGATCCAGATTTTCCAAGTGTAAGCCAAAAGGAAAGCAGTACGTGACACTGGGACCATATATACATGAAATATAAGCCCGGACGATGGTAGAACGATACTGCAGCGATAACAGCTCCGGGCTGTTTTCACTCAAAGCAACGTCGAAGTTCAGGAACTTTTGC